AGATTTACAGCAAGGATCAAACAAAGTGGCTCTTTCTGTCTTGTGCTGAGAGAAAAACAAGGTTATGAAATAGTGTTTCAGTTAAATGTTGAACTGTTTCTCGGCGTCATTTGCTGCTCTGAAATTTTAAACATCGAGTTTATCTGTACTTTGATCTCAGGTTGTTCCAATCTATATAAAAGACCAAAAAACACTCCTAAAATCAACAAAATGTATCTGAATTCCTTTGATGTCTAAAAGATATGAAAACACAACTGTGTGAAGAGGTTCTGCACTGGATACTGGACCTGTAGAAAACAGCAAAACAAATGAAGCCCTTTAATCTTACATCTAAAAATTGCTTCTAAAATAACATAATTCCATTGTTTATTGCCTGAAGGTAAAAAGTAACAAAATTAGTGCCATGCAATGCGAGATAAAAGATGCTGATGTTTTTGTTGTACTGTTTACTTGTAAATTCTGAACCCTGTTGAATTTCCTATAGTAATATTAACATTAGTAAGTAATAACCAGCATGTAATATGTTGTTATATAACATGTAGTTCTGTTTCGCATTTTTTTAGAAATTAAGATTGTGAACTTATTAAATAGCAAAACTGTATTTTAAGATTTTTTTCCCACTTATTACTACATAAATTGAAAACTAATTAGTTTAAATAAAAATTAGTACTATTTTATGATCACTTGAAAGAATTGCCTTCTTATCGTTAATACTGATGCTGTTGTCATTAGGGTGATGCATTTGCTTGTAGGCCTACTTAGAAACCTGACCTTTACAGTGCTGTCCCAAAGTATCACTCCTGATTTCAATACATTTTTTCTTCCACTGATCAGTCAGTCATTCAGTGCAGACTTGTGCTTGAATAATTGTGTCTGTAATCATTTATTATGTTCCAACATTAGTCTTTGAAGTGTCACCAGTCTAGTCTTGTTAACACTGATAAATCCACATGTATCATTAAAGCTCTGTGTCTACATCCCCCCACTGTTTACAAATTAAACACCCGGGCAGACTCTTAAAGAGAACATGTAATTTATGCAGCATATTTATATTAAATAATTCAAAAGTGTGACGGATTGAAAGAGTCTTGTTGGATCAGCCATATGGTGTCAGCACAGCACAGATGGTTTGTCTTGAAATCACATGAAAAAACTGCTTTGACATATGGCCCAAGTCACTGTGTTGGTATAAATTTTAGTTTAAAAACATTTAAATGTCAACAGAGTTTGGTGTTAATGTTTTTTTTCCTTTTAACCATAAAAGAGTAGCATATCTTTCTTAATGTGAGGGTTAAAAAACCTCATATTCTCGAGTTCAAACAAGTTCAGATGAACTTTCTTTCTAAAAGGAACCTCCTGTACCTCCATAATAATGAACCTTCCTCATCCTTTATCACCTACGTACATTTCACTGTGTCCTCTTTGCTTGTGATGACCTGCAGAAAAAAATACGGAAAAGAAACAAGATAGCATTATATATATA